CGCCCCCGCCGCCGGGTTTATGAGAGATGCACTGTAAACGGACACCGGCTCCTGACGGGAGGCCCCTCTCGGCATTCCTCTGCTGGACCAGGAGACCCCGGCCGCCTCTGAGACCGTGTTTCATCCCTCTTTTATAAAGCCCAGCATGGAAACGCCGAGCATCCCCAAGCTTGCCATAGCTGATCCCTTGTGCTCTGGAGCAAAGGGGGACAGAGACATCTCTCTGTGCTCTGGAGAGATGGCCAAGCATCCTCTGTGCCAGCACAGGCCTGCGCGAGGCCAGCGCTGAGTTGGGCATGCAGAAATCAGGGAGAAACCAGCCCCATGTACAGAAGGTTTTGCTTTTTGGGGGGCTGGCTTTGTGACGCCCTTTTGGGTTCTAGCAGTGAGTACCATGTCATGCTGTGTTCCCCTATGGGGCTCTGACCAGAGCCCTAAATGCCTGCAAAGCAAGGCTGCCAAGGCACTCCAGTGCTCCAGGGCAACAATAGATGTTAAAGCTTTCAAGGGAGGGAGGAAAAAAACTTGCAGTGATACTGCACTGGTTTGGTTAAATGGGGAGCCACTTGGCAACTAAATTTGATAATGCTTTTGTCCATGGGTCAGAGGTTAAATATGTTCACGCTAATCCCCTTCATCTAGAATTAAAGGACAAGAAAGATTTCTTCGTAGCTTAGTGAGAGGGCTTTTCCCATCGTGCTTTAAATAGTATTTGCACAGGAAAATTAAAGGCAGACCATTGGCCCCAATGCCATCATGGCTGCATGGGTCTGCCACGCTCCCATCTCCTGGCTCCTTCTGGTGAATCCACCAGCTTGCATGATGTCTGGCCTCATCACAGTTCCCCATGTGTGCACCAAGGGGCACAGGGAATTCTTGCTGCCATTTGCTGTCAAAGTGGCAGAAGCAGCCGTGGTTTGGGAGGCAGGGAGATTCCCGGCTGCAGGAATGCGCGCCAGGACTCAGATTTCAAGTGCTGTCACAGGACATTACTGTCAGACAAAGGGGCTCTGTGCTGCGCCCCTAGGACCCACTGCCCCCAGACCCTCTGTGAGCTGGGGCCAGCACCTGAGCATCCAGAATCCACTCTTGCACCCGAGAGAAAATCTGGAAACATCGACTGTCCATCACAGCACAGCATCACTGGCACGCCCTCCCCCCGCCGGGACTGCGGAGCCGAGGCGAGCAGGGAGGGATAATTACCTCTAAGCATACTTAATACTACAGTGCATTATCTCTAGCCATGGAGAAAAGCACGATCTGGAGGTATTTCCCCCCAAAGTCTCATTGGGCTGCTCTCAGAAAACGCTCCTGAGTCCTGTGAAACGGTAACAAAAAATCACAGGCAGCCCAGGAGGATGTCAGGTTGGTTTGGGTAAGGAAGTGTGCCAGGTGCTTGTGCCAGGCATTGCTTTGATGAAAATGTGGAAGAGGATGCAGCAGGACAAGCCCCAGACAGCATCTCCCAAATCTGCTGCTGCAGCAGGGACATTGCAGATGGCTGTTGGTGGCCAGTGGCACCACTGTGACAAGCCCCAGCCACTGGCAGAGTCATGCCAGCATCCTAGTGGAGCACTGGCCTGACCATTAATCGTGGTGCCACACTGAGTTTGAGGCAAACAGAATTTGTTCTTCAGTGTGATTTATAGCTCACATCACCAAACTCATGTGTTATGTTCCACTTGCTCAAAATCTGTCATTTCCACACTGGAAGAAGCAGTGTGCCACACATCTGCAGCATCACTGCAAGGTTTTGGGCTGGAACCATTTTGAGGCAGAGAAAGCAAAGCAAATGTGAGAAGATAAGACAAATATATAATAAATTTGACTCAATGTACATTTGCCAAGAGCAGGGGTAGTGCGTGCCCGTGTGACAGTGCAGCTCCAGCGCAATGCCCCCTCCACCTCCTCCAGGCTCCCACGCATTCCTTGGCAAACCCAAGCCAGTAATGGGGTTGCTGGGATGCTCTTCTATGGAAAAACACCGAGAACTATGGCATATAACACAAAAGTAATCTAAAAATTTTTAAAAATCCCTGTGTGGTCGTTGAGCAACACTTGCCATGGGACCCAGCGTGGGGGCATCCTGCCACCTCTGCTCCCGGGTTCCTGATCTCACACACCAGATCTTTCTCCCTTTGTACCTCCACTTATACTGCACGACTGTTTTGAATCTCTAAAATAATGTGACAAGTTAATGATGGCACAATTATCTAAATGTTTAACAGACATGTTATCTAAGTGAATCGGATTGAGATTCCATCCCGCTGACAATAAACATCAATGGGAGAGCAGAAAGTGATAGGCAAATTATCGCCAACCCTGCAATTTCAATGCTATTAAATTTGGAGGAATAACAGCCCTGAGGCCTGTAAACTCTGAATAAAATAGACCCTTGTGTTTGGCCAACTATTAAATCAAAACGCTACCAACATCCCAGCAAAAGAAAAAAACAGGGGGGAAGAAAAGGGGGGAAGATATAGAGCTTTTCAATTTTCAGTTACATGTTGGTTTTATTAATTCTTTTCTGCTACTGGTGTCTCAGGGCAGAGGATCCGAGGGATATGAGGGATGCGAGTATGGGATGTAGGAAGGGAATACGCCCAGGGATGTGGGCACGGGAGAGTGAAGGGTCCTGCTCCATCCTTGGTGGTGCGGCCGGGGGCACGCCAACCCCACAAACCAGAAAGCCAACTACTTGCTGAAGCAAACACGCTCAATAGTGGGTGTTGCTCATGCCCACGTGAAACTGGGTCAGGAGTAAATCTGCGCTGTCCCGCTGCCTGACACCGGCTGCCGTGCGCTAACTGCCTTGGCACTCGGGAGGAAACTCGAGACGAGTCACCTCTGATATTTATAAACGTCGGCACGAGCCCAAACCCGTTAGCACGAACAGCGCTCGTGTGCGCATCCCGCTCCCAGCGGTGCTGCCTGGGGCTGCTCAGGCTGCCATCTCAATGCATTCTGTTTCTTCCTCTAAGTTTGAGGAGAAGGGTAAGGAATTTTCCATGCTCTCCTCCCCGGCACCAAGCTTGTGCTCCTGGAAGATAAGCCAAAACAGTTGCTGCTTTTCCTATTGCAGTGGGACGGGAGCCAAGGACAGTGCACACCCGGAGAGGGCGTCTTGGCCCCGTGTCTGTGGGGCTGCACACAGCACTGACAGTGCTGTGCTTACAAGCAGGAACTATTTGTTTGTATTTATTCTTGTTTTTTGCCTTGCCTCAGGAAGTGGGGTGTTAGTTTTCTGCTGTGGAGATGAGCAGCACATGTACAAGAGCCTGGCTTTGTGTTACCATCATTCAAAGCAGCAGGGAGGGCAGTGGGGAAAAGAAATAACATTAAGGGGTTTCTGAGTGCTGAGAGTCCACCTGAGAAACAGCCACATGTGCTGAAAGAAAACCCTGAGAAACCTTCATCTTCTGCACAAAGCTCCACAGCTCTAGGTCATGTGGGGAAGCAGTGACTCTTGTGGAGAGGTCCCACATCTCCCCTGACCACTGTTTTTGAATAATGTGGGTGGATTTGGTCAGCCTGTACCAGACACCCTGCTCAGCTTTTGATGCCATCCCTGAAGGCCTCTACCTGCCTCTCTACCAAAAAGGGTTATGCATTTCTTTCATCTGGAAAGTTGGAAGGTCTTTTGCCAGCCAACCTGCAGCTAAGGGCAAAGGAATGATGTCCAAAACAAACTCGTTCTGGAAGATGCTATTATTTGGGAAGGGGGTTAATTATACCCAGGCAGGGGAGGGATGCTTTCCACGCCAGCAGAGGAGAGGAAATGATTTATTTTGGCTGCCCTGGCCTCTCATCCCCTCTCCGCCATATTTACAGCTGGAGGCAGTGATAACAAGATCCCCTTGGGTCACCATGTCCCCCTGCTCTGGTTGCCCATTGCCCTTTGAGCTTTGGCACAGTCCAGACCCAAGGATTCACCAGAAAAACGGGGTTTATCCCTACAGGAATGTCAGACTGCTCTGCATCTGCAGGATGGTTTGGGGTGAAGGCATCATCGAGCTCCATGGCTGGGCTCCCATTTGTCACCCCAGGATGCTCAACGGGTCTGGGAAATAGAAGGAAAGGGGGAACTAGCTGCAATTTGCTTGATCACTCTGAACCCCCTGCCTGGGCCTGGGCTGCTCAGCCCTGTGCAGCCAGTCCCTCCCTGTGCTGGCAGCCCCTTCACAGCCCTTCTCCTCAGCCTGCAGCACAGAGGGACCAAACAGGGCTGGAATGGCAAAACCCAGCCTCCAGCTGTGTGGTTATGGACAGGGAGGGCAAGTACTCTAAGATTTATGGACTGGTAAAAGCTCCGTGACCAGGTGACAGCTGGAGCCATTCCTGCCTGGTGACACAGCATTTTGCATCCATGCTCACACCCCCAGCGTGAAGTCGGGCGCGTCCTCTGTGCCAGCCCTGAGCACAAACTCACTGCCAGTGGCATTTATATCAGGGCTTTCAGCACTGAAAGATGAACTTGCGCTCAGTTAAACCGCTCCTGATACAGCACAGGAGGAGCAGGCGCTCTGTCCTGTTCCAGTCTAGATTTGGAGGGTGAAGGGCTCCACCTGGGTCTGCCCAGCTGTGAATTCCCCCTGGCAAACCTTTCCCAGGCACGGCAGCTTTTGCAAGAGGCTGAAGAGATCCTTGTGTTCCTGATGGTGGCATCACTGAAGGGCTGGGAAGTGCCAGGGCAGAAACATGGCAGAAAATAACTTCTGGGAGGTGTTTGGACAGGGACAAACTTTGCTTACAAAGGGGACAAACGACCTCGCATTTGTTCTGCCACTGTTTACCATGTTGATGCTGAGCAGTGGTGTAACTGCACTGCACCCACTGATGCCTTAATCTGTGCTTTAGTTTAAGAGCAACTGGGGCTGCCTGGGCAGCACAGAGGCAGGAACTGCAAGGGGTCTAGCTCTCTGTTGGGCAAAGGGTGACAAAGGCAGCCCAAATGTTAAAACCTGCACCTAACTGAAGGGTGGAAGGGGAGGGCCACATACCGGTGTGCGTCTGCCGGTGCGTCTCCAGGGCATCCTCCTTCGAGAACTGGGCACCGCACTGATCGCAGACCAGGGCTTTGGCACCCGCTGGGGAGAGAAAAGGGAGAGGAGGGTTATTCCAGGGACAGAAGGACGCACATCTGAGCGTGCACCTGGACACTGCTGCTGCCATTAACACTCCAAGAGCAGCGCCATGGAGAGGTTTCGTGTTTAATGTCCCCTGTGCAGCCAGCAAAAGCATCACCTCATTCAACCCTGTGCTCCTGTTCCTTGCACATCACAGCAAAATACAGAGCTGCTTGCCAGGAAAAGATTAATATTATTTTTTTAAATCGTTACATATCAATGCATTTAATTAGTACTGCAACTTATCCAATTGCAATTGGTTTTCTGTCCCTTCCCATCGTGGCTGGTGCTGCTGGTACCCAAAGATGCACCTGATGAGGGATGTGGCTGGAATGCGACAACTGAGCAAGAAGCTCAGAGGCATCTCTGACTATTGGAAAGAGATGTGGGATTTGGGGCAATTTTTAGAAAACTACTATCAATGTGCCACTGATTTGGGTGAGGAAAAACCCAGGACGCCCAGCAGCAGATAAGTAACTTCTAGATTAAACCAGATTAATGACACACCATATCCAACAGCATTGCAGGACAAAGCCACGGCCCTATTTCAAGGTTTGATTCATCTATTGTGAGGAGCTGAATGTTACAGAGCAGCATTCAAGGTGGGGGCACTGTTTTGCAGAATGCTGTGCTGTCCATTTTCAGGGGATCATTCTGCATCTCCCCTCTCCTTCCAACCCCACCGAGCCCTCCATCCCACAGTCAGGGTGGGATCTGGGGAAAGGTGGGTAGAAAAGGCAACAGGGAGAGAGGTATCACAAGATGCATTGAAAAGAGAATTCCTTTGCCTTTAAATTGTCTCAGTAACGGCTGGCTCGCAGGCAGAAATATTTGGCAGCGGTGAAATTAAAAGTGATAAATTTTCTCGCCAAGAGCTGATCGATAATAGAGGTCTCATCTGTTAATCAATATGACAGTCTGCCTGTTTACTGTGCATATGTTGTTCCCCGCCGCCCTCGCTGCGATGTCAAGTTTGCATTCAAAACAACCCGAGTGCACCTGGGCCATTGTTGGCTCCAAAGGGGCAAACACACCCAAACTTTGGGGTGCCCCGGGGTGGCTCCCTCACCCCTGCCACTGCCAGGGGAGCGCCCGGCACGCCATCAGGGATGCGGGGCACTGGGATGCGGGTGCTGCCGAGGTGTCCTGGGATGCGGGTGCTGCCGAGGTGCCCTCTCCAGGCACAGCAGCGAGAGGAGCGAAGGTGCCGGGATGGGCAGCAGCGAGGGGCCGGATCGATGGGGCAGCAGCGCGGCCGCGCTGCGCTCGGCGGGGACGCGAGCCCGCAGTTGCCAAGGCGATGGCTCTCCATCGCCACTCCAAGCTCCGCCGGCCCCGCCGCAGCCACGGCGACCCGCGGGGATCCGGCAGCCCACGATCCGTGAGGATGCAACAACTGCGGCAGCAACAGGTCCCGGGGCCGGGCGCTGCCCCTTGCGCTCGCACCGGCGCTCCTGCGCGCTCGCTGCTCGGGGGCGCTCCGAGGCTCAGGCGGAGCGCGGCCCGACGAGCACGGGGCTTGCTTTCACATCCCCGGTTCCCCGTGGGATTAGTGGGGGGAACGTGCCGGTGCCCCGCGGGCCGCGGCCAGAGGGGCGCAGGGCACAGCCCGGCGAGGCAAAGGCGGCCGGCATCTGGCTGGGGGGCGGCGAGGGGGAGGAAAAATTCCTGCCGAGGCGAAAATAAACAGGGCGAGCGCAGGGAGGAGCCGGGCGCACTGGCTTACATAAGGAAGCACAGTGTGTACCAAAACAGCGGACCCAAAAAAAGCCGGAGCTGTCAGAACAATGAGTACAGACGCGGGGCATTTACAGCAGGCGCTGCCGTACAGTTTTATTTACAGTACCTCTTATCAGCGCGGGAACAGCACGCCGCCTGCCAATTTCCAAAGGCCAGGACTGCGTGTTCTTTCCCTCAAGTAGATGTGTACTCCAGGCGGGGGGAGGTTGTTTTTTTTTTTTTTTTTT